CAGGTGCGGGTCACACAAACACCACACACAACACACTATCAACCAGACAAATCACACCAGATCAACTTACCTATCACAATCACACACACATGCGGCACACCACACACAACACACTACACAACAACCACACACCACACCCATGAGGTACACACACACACACAACACAACACAACACACACACAGATGACACGAACACACACACACACACACACACAGGACACAACTCTGGCATTCTCATAGCCGGGGTCTGGACAATGCTAATTTTTATGTCCAACAATTCGAGGGTCATATAGTAGGTAGGCAGGGTGGGGGTGGGTGTAGGGGGGGGTAAAGAATGCTTAGGTTTCGCATAATATACCCTCCCCTCCCCCCTCGTCCCCTCCCTTCCTTCCTGCCCCTGTGTCTGGAGGTTGGTTGGTAGTAGCGTTATAGTATATATGCGTGTGTGTGGGTGTGGCTGTTGTGTTGTGTGTGTGTGGGTGCGTGCGTGCGTGTGTGTGTTGGTGTGCGTTGCGTGTGTGTGCTGTGTGTGTGTGTGTGCATATGTTCTGTGCTGTAGTGTGTGTGTATGTATGGTGTGTGTGTTGTGTGTGTGTGTGTGTGTGTGTCGTGTGTGTGGTGAGTACAATATTTCGTGTGCATGTGGTTTGGTGGTGTGTGTGTGTGTGTGTTTATATGCCGTGACAGAATAGACACAAAACACACGACAAACAGGACGTACAGGATTTTCAAAATCTCACCAATACAGGTACCATTTCAAACCAACTTTGAATGTTAACTAAATGGTACGTATAGGAGGTACGTCTCTTTTCTCGTCTCGGGGTGTCCTTGCGAGTAGGGTCACGACGGACCCAGAGGACCTTCCGCTTTCTCCCACGCTCGGTGTAAGGGGATGGGTAGGGGGGGGAGGGGTGGGGGGGTACCGGCAGCTCCGTTTTCGTTTTTTTTTTCGTCGATTTGGGAAAAGTTTTTCTTGAGGATTGTTGTTGTTGTTGTTCTGTTATTTATATTTTGATGTATTTGTTGTTATTGTTATCGACGTTATCACCATCATCATTATCATAATCATCTTCATATTCATCTTCAATTATCATCTCATCTTTATCATTCGTCATCATCATCATTCATCATCATTATCATTATCATTATCATCATCATCATCATCATATTAATCATCTCCATCACAACCATCACCATCATCATCATCACCACATCATTCTCATTATCCTTTGCTATCATTCTCATATTGTGGGGGAGAAACGATTTTTTTTTTCGAAAAAATAATTTTTTTCTTTCTTAATTTTGTTATTAATGATGAGATAAGATATTTTAAAGATATTTTTTCTTTCCCTTTTTAGTACAGAATCTCAAAGAAGATATTTTAAAGATATTTTTCTTTTTCTTTTTAGTGATTTTTTTGGGGGGTTGGTTTTGAGTATATTATAATTTCGCGTTTTTTTTGCTAGAAATTTTAAGAGATATTTTAGAACTGGGAGAAAATTACGGTAAATGTGCAAGTTAGTTTCAGTGCTAAGAGGTATGTGGGTGAAGGTCGTGTGCGTGTGTATGTGCGTGTCTGTCTGTCTGTTTGTTTGTTTGGCTTTTTCTCAATTTCTTTCCTTCCTCTTTCTTTCTTTCTTTCTCTCAATATCACGTCTCGTCGCTCGGGCAGAGGTTTCGGTCTTTCTTTTTCTCTCCTCTCCCTGGTCTTTTTTTTTCATTCATTCTCTCTTCCCTCTGTTTTCTTTCTTTCTTTCTCTCTCTCCTCATTCTCTCGGGATTCTCTTTCTTTTTATCTCTCGTCCCATGCATCTTTCTTTCATTCTCGTCTCGTTCCTCCTCGTCTTTCTTTCTTTTTCCTCTCTCATTCCTTCCCTCTTCCTTACTTCTGAGGGGGAGAGAACGAAGAGGAGGGAAGGGGGAGAGAGAAGAGAAAGGAAGGGGGAAGGGGGAGGGGAAGAGAGACGAAAGAGGAGGGAGGGAGGGGGAGAGAGACGAAAGAGGGAAGGGGAGGGAGGGAGACGAAGAGGAGGAGAATGGGAAGAAAGAGAAGGAGGAGGGAAGGGAGGGGGAAGAGAGACGAAGGAAGGGAAAGGGAGGAAGAGAGACGAAGAGGAGGGGAGGGAGGAGGGAGAGAGACGAAGAGAGGGGAGGGGGGAGGGGAGGGGGAGAGAGACGAAGAGGAAGGGGAAGGGGAGGGAGAGAGAAGACCGAAGAGGAGGGGAAAGGGAGGGGAAGAGAGACAGAAAGGAGGGGAAGGGGAGGGAAGAGAGACGAAAGAGGAGGGGAAAGGGGAAGAGAGAGACGAGGAGGGGGAAGCCGGAAGAAAAGACGAGGAGGAGGGAAGGGGTAGGGAGAGAGACGAAGAGGAGGAGGGGAGAGGAGAAGAGGACGGAAGGGGAGGGAGGGGAGGGAAGAGAGACGAAGAGTTAGGAAGAAAGACGAAGGAGGAGGGAAGGTAAAGGGAAGGAGACGAAGGGAAGGAGACGAAGAAGGAGGAAAAAGAGAGAGGGAGAGAGAGACGAGAGAACTAAAGGAGGAGAGTAGACGAAGAGGGGGGTAGGGGAGGAGGGGAGTCCCGGCGCATGTCCATGGTCATCCCATCTCCGGTTAATATGGAGCGGACCTGTTGGCTGGACTGCAGCAACAAGCGGGACAGAGACACGAACACGCTTTGGCGGATGTCATTTTCTTGCGTTTTTCTTTTTTTGTTTTCTTTTTTTTTTTTTAACGACTCTTTTTTGTTGGTGTTTTGTTTTTGTGTTGTTTTTTTTTTTTTTTTATTTTTTTCCTTTTTGGCTTTCCTTTTTTTATAACGGAGACTTCCTTTTTGTTGGTGTTCTGTTTTGTTTGTTTTTTCTTTTTTTTCCTTTTTGGGCTTTCCTTGTTTTCGTGTTTTCTCTTCCTATTTTCCGTTTTTTTTCTTCTACGGTGGTTTTTTTTGTTTGTTTTGTTTGTTTGGCTTGTTTCGTTTCTTTTTTGTACCAATTTCATCCCGCATATTTCTTTTCTTCTTTTTTCTTTCTTTTCTTCTTCTCTCTTCACTTGCTTCTCTTGTTTGTCACTTCTCTCTCGCACTTCTTTCTTCACTTCTCTCCTCTCTTCCCTCATCCTACCTCCCCTGTCTTCTTCTTCGCTTTCACCTTTTCCATTCCGCTTCTGCTCTTGTCTTCTTCTTTCATCATTCTTCTTCTCCTCTTTCCTCCTCCTTCCTCTTTATTAGGGATTTCCTATATCTTGGAGACGTCGTAGTTCAAGCAAAAAATAAATAAATAGGCAGAACAATACCCAAATTTAGTTCGACTGAATATATAATAGTTGTATATGTTTATTCATTATTGTACAAGCCTCATTTTCTTCAACTTTNCTTGATTTTTGAACCCAAGAAGTACGAGAGGACACACCAAAAAGTTGAAAGTAGAAAGAGGTGACAAAGATGTCAAAAAATATAGTTTCCCAATCAGAACTATTGAACTTCATTTTGTCTCCATTCCCCATGGTTGTTTACACGAAAAAAACTAATCCCATTCTTTTTGGATTGTCAGTACGGCTCAATTTCCTAGTTTATATTCACATACACAGCGTATAATATGGCACAAACTGTCAAGATGAAAAAGGGGGCGGGGCTCATGACGTCATCACGTTCAGCCAATGAGAATGCGCCGTGAGATGTCAGATATAACTAGAAACTAAATAATTTGTATAGTTTACTCGATGTTGTTATGCTTACCAGAAGTGATACCAAAATTGTCCTATTTTATTTATGATAACTGAGTGTAATTTATGATAACTGAGTCGTCAGAATACTATTGGAAAAAGTCAATTTTCTCTTATACACACACACACACATATATATACATAAATACGTACATATATATTATTCCTTTATTTATATACATATGTGTGTGTGTGTGTGTTTATATCTACATTCATCTCTCTCTCTCTCTTTTCTGTCCAATACCGAAGAATTGAATGAATAATACTAAAAATACATTTCTTTTTCATAAATTCATTTTATTAAATCATTCTAGTTACATTTTAGGCATTACTTTGGTACTAAATGCTACAAAAATACTTTCTCCTCTTTTTGGCAGATGTATATATTAACCTATTGTAGAACACGTAATCAGTGGGAATGGACGAATGTGCAAATGGGTTTAGATATTGCAAATTCACCAAAGACGTAGTTCTGATAAAATGGCAGAACCATACCACAGGGTACCATCCCACATTAACGTGTATATATATATAGTCCATCTCTCTCTCTCTCTCTCTCTCTCTCTCTCTCTCTCTCTCTCTTCTCTATATATATATATTATATATATATATATATATATATATATGTGTGTGTGTGTGTGTGTGTGTGTGTGTGTGTGTGTGTGTGTGTGTGTGTGTGTGTGTGTGTGTGTGTGTGTGTGTGTGTGTGTGTGTGTGTGTGTGTGTGTGTAACAAATGATATTTTCGTTTTGGAAAAATGGATATAATATCTAATTGCTATAACAAATTATAAGTACAACAAAATGCATCCATATACATATTTAAGGAATACTTTTAAAACTTTCTTATACATTAAG